AAGTTTTCCTATTCTAAAATATTTCAAATTTGCGACAAATTGTCAATACGATAATAGAGATAATATAAAGAATAAAATGTAAGATGATATACAATCGAGATGAACTACGCTTTTACAATTCTCACATACACGGTTGAATGTATCGCGATTTCAACGAGATTCCAACACGTTAACTGTGAAGTTAGTTGAATTTCACGGATGCCAGAAAAATGTTTCGTTAAAAATTGCGCGCCGGATTTAAAAATTTTTCCTACGGCTCGATCGTTTCACGGTGGAACAGAACGCAACAGACAAGAAACTGCGAAAGTTAACTCGCACTCGCTATTAAGTTAGCATAACCGGACAATGCTTCCAACAATGTACACTAATTAGTCATGGAAGTTAGACCTCGTTTGCATCACACAGTAACGTCGGTGCGGATCATTATCATATGGATATGCTATAACTACGTGAAATCAGCGGCATTCAATTTGAACTCCGCGCTGTCTCCCTGATTACGGCCAATGGAAAGTTAAAATTTGTTAAAATCGTTAGGCTCCTATACAGAATGTTCGATGATTAAATCGAGTCGTCTCCTTTTACTCAAAATAGCAATCCTGATGCCCTTCGGGACTCGCACGAAACGTATAAATTATTTTTCTCCACCTTCTTCGACTTTAAACATTTCACTGTACTTGCATTGTAAAATATCTTTGTAGAAATGTCTTAAGTATATTATTATTATATACAAGCATATGTATTAAGTATTATATATCTCGAAAATCTCATCGAAATTTCTCATTCCAAAGAAAAAAAAAAAAAAAAAAAAAAAAAAAAAAAAAAGAACAGATTTCAGAGTTAATTAAACTTTCCCGGTCGCGGCGATGCAATTCTTCGCTGGATCATTCGATCGTTGTATCGAGCGACCATCCTCCGTTGGCAAACAATTAAATCGGCCAAGCATTGAAAAATGTTTCGAGCAACTGGAAACGTTTCTTTGGTTAATGGAGGAAGAAGCGGGTGAAACAAGGAAGCTCGCAAATAAGAAAGTAATTAGCCATGGCAGGGGAGTCGGGAAGTTAATTCTTATTGCTAATGGAAACCTCTTCTGCTGACAGGAGGAGGAGAGGGGGGGGAGGGAGGGTGAGAGAAGAGGGAGAGATAAAGCGAAACGGCTCCGGTTCGCGGGACACACTCCCCTAATTTAAGGACATGCAGTTTACATTAGCGATTCCCGACTTAGCGTAACGCTGCTGCCGCGAGCAAAGTATCGGGGCGAGTATGTCCCCCCTCGTCGTATCTCATAGACTTTTCGCAGGATCGTAATCAAAGTTTAACGGGCCATCGTTACAGGAAATGGCATCCGCGACTATAATTTCCACTCGTGGAAGATATTTTCCACCGCATTGCCCATCGCCGGCATGTTTATCGACCTCTACCGACTCGCCGATCGATTAAATTCGAAATAACAGCGTGAAAAGCATGCTGTTGATCACGTCGACAAGAGAACGGGCGCGCGTGTTTCCCTTGTGCAGTTTCGAGAGAGATTTTTTACGATAAAAGTCGAATGAAATTAATAGAAAGAAAAAGGAAATAACGAAATTAAATTAAATTAAATTAATAATCGTTGATTTATTAATTAAATAAATAACGTAACATGTTGTTTTCACTGAGATGTTAATTTTCTTCGAGATGTATTTTCTCCGAGGAGAATTCACTGTAAAGGAACGTGTTGAGCTTTCTCCATTGCGTTCTCTCAATGGGGATCGAGTAGTATTACGCGACCAATAAATACACCAACTAATTCGTACGATTTTGTATTTGTGTTTGATTAGACTTTCAAGCATTATATTGCAATTGCACTGGCATCTACGGCCACCAAGAATATATATTATAGTGTACTAGAGGAACGCATTGAAAGAAATGTTTTCGAGCAAATGTTAAAGATGCAAAGGTACGTGTCCTCCCTTCTGATGCGAACTGTGGTTTGTTCACAGGAAATTTCGCCTGTCAGTTGTCAATTAACGTCCTGCTAGTCATGGTGCATCAAGCACTGATCAACATGTTCAACATGTTCGATTAACTGGTGAGTAAATCAATAACACATAATGTTTCTCGTCACTTGTTAAACTCAAGTCGACTCGAATCTGTAAATAAATTGCCTAAAATTGAGGAACCCAATTTTAATTTTAATCCTTTCTAATCACGTTCTTTCACGAATCATTTCGTTTCACTTTTTCTCGCGAATTAAGAAAAACATTAGCATACGATCGGAAAGATTCCACTTAAAATATATATATATATATATATTTCATGTTCAAAAATATATGCATATATGTATATAAGAAACAAAGTATTGATTATTTCAAAGATCTCGGTATCGTTAAAATCGAAATCGGCAGGAATGTTTATGTACAGAATTGAGCGTGAAATGTTTGATTTCAGGTCGCCTAAGAAAGAACTCAGTCCCAAAACGACTAGCGAACACGTGTTGAAGGTTCGTCGTTCCGATCTATCGTCTTGTACTACAATTTACTGCCTAAGATACTTATCAACAGACACGGTGTGCCCACGTTCTATACTGTTTCGCAAAACGCGACAGAATCAAGCGTCGAGCGTCAAACGTCGATCAACGTACATACATATGTACATAGGTACATACGTGTTCGTCGTTGGCGCGAGAAAGTCCTGTTTGTAACTCTTTACACCTATACACGTACGAACACACGCCCAAACAGACGGAGTACCACACAACACAGACGCAACACCACACAGAAACCGAGACACGCACACACACAAAAGATACATTATACGCTGTTTAGAGTGTTGTTTGTACTAATAATGAAAATTCTAGTTTATCGTGGCTAGCGTGGACACGATTTAAAACCAAAGATATAAGTAAAAACCTGTTGATGGAGTGAAAATGGAGAACGGAGGGAAAGAGGTCCTCCTCTTCGCAGCGTTGGCGGTGTAAATAATGTTCAAGATTTGATCGTATTACAGTTCGAGTCATATTGTAGACTGTGTTTGTTACTCTTCGTGTTACGTCAGATTCATAATATATTGTTTAAACGAATGATGTATGGAACTTTACATACGATATACAGCAGATAAGATAATATATATATATATATATAAATATGGATATGAACATAAAGATACGATTAAACCAAAAAAAAAAGGAAAGAGAGAAGAAAATCGAATGGATATATTGATTATACGTAACTTGAATGTGTAATTATTTTAATATGTGTAAATAGCTGCGACAATATGCGGTATCGAAACACAAACACGGCGAATATTTAGGGACGAAGGATAACGACGATAACATCTTTGTTCCGGGAGGAGGGGGGAATGTGAATTGTACAGTTTCTGCGATCGATATTGCGAACAACTTTATCGTGTGTGTTGTTTCTGATCGCGAAGTGAGAATACGACAATTATACTATAACGTGATGCGAGACACAAAAGTATATCGCGACGAGGAAAGGGGCAAAAATTATTAGGACAATTTCGATGTACATGAGACGATACGCTAGTAAGGTCGATGAGTTTTAATTTGTCGATTAATAAAAAATATTTGTAACGTTCGCTCAGGTATTTCCATCGTTCCATCATTATTTTCAGTTCGATCGAACGAAACGACCAAAAGAATTATTTTACCCGGTTGTAATAAAACGTTTCACCTTTACATTCTCTGTTTTGTGAACAACGATACCAAAGACGAACGTGGAAATGCCCGATCGAACAGTCGAATCCAAACTGCATGCACCAAAGTTTGGCGACTAATTAAATTAGGCCTAATGTATAATCTACTGATCGCACGTAACAAACGCCAGCGAACTTGTAAAATTGAACTTGAAGTTCCTTTCTTTCAAACGAAGAGAAATGTTCTTTTAAGAAGAAGAATCTAACGAATAAAAGTGTAAGAAGAAGAGCTTTCGTCGCGTGATTGTGAAACTAATAAATCCGAAAACTGTTCAAATTATTGAAGCTGGACGAGCGCGTAGCGTTCTAACGAAAGTGAAAGAGAGGTAAGAATTATAGAAAAGATTATAGTAGACTTTATAGTTGTAAATAAACTACCCTCTGTAGCACTTCTAGTCCTTTGAAACACGGAAAGCCTAAAGGAAGAACGATAGGAAACGGAGGGAAAGAATTCTGTATATTATAATTTCGTGTACGAAACGCCCGAGGATTCTGTAATTATACAGAACGAATGCTTGGACGAAGGAAGATGATTTTCATGTTTGTAAAGTGAAATACATTTCTGTACCAAAGAAACCAGCGGACGGTGTATCCATGTCATTGAATGTTCCATAAAACGTCCATATCCTCCAAAGAGTTGTCCAATCAGATGTAATCGATAATCAACATTCATCTTCAGGTAATCAACAAGAGAAAAAGAAGAAAACCGAATAATACAACCGTCGTGATGAGCGTAAAAGCGAATCGAACTTATTTTCCGAAGGACAATATCGGAAGTACATGTGTAACGTGTGCCTCAAATTAAAATAGGGTAGCTGATAACTTCTCTAGCGAATTTTTAATTTTTTAGCAGTAATTCTAGAAAACATATTTTCTCTCATCAAGTTTCCAATTTATATATCGAAATAATAAAATCGTATTCGTAATCACTAATCAATCATCTTCTTTAATTAACTCGGATTTTAAAAGATTTTTCATCTCAACGTTTGTTGTTTTTTTTTTTTTTTTTTTTTTTTTTTTTCTTTGAAATCCTTGAAAGAGCTTGGACTAATTTTCTTGTCTGAGAATCGAGCAGTTACCAATTAAATTTCGAAACCTTATTTTATACGATCTATTGTAAAAGAATTCTTGCGATTACTTCAATCCCGACGTTTTGCCTAACACTTCAAAATAATATTTGTACGCAGTGTTTGAGAAATTCGAACGAAATTGTAACGAATTTTAATAAATGGATTTTGTTTAATTTTAATGATTTCTGTTTTTCCGTTTCTTTCCATCTCTTCGCAGCAAGGGCGCTGCTTGTGTTACTTTTATTTGGCAATTGCAACGTCATCTGTACAAGGTAGAAATGAATTTTCGACAAATTTAATACCGCCAGAAACTTGAGAATTTATTGGTTACCCTGATGATAACCCTTTGCAAATTGCACTCTAGAAACATGAGTCTAGACGAAAGGCTTTCGATGGTAAGAGTCGATTGGAAATATCGTTGAAGTATGTAAATAGGCAATTTAATCAGTTTTCATTCGAAATGTGAAAATAAATGAAATTATAGGCCAAACACTCACACGCAAAGGGTTGAACGTTTTAGAAGTTCCAATGCTAGAGAAAAAAATTAAAAGGATACTATGCATATAAAAGTATTTACTTGATCACTCAACAAAAGAATGACGAGGTTGATATCGAATCTAAAGAGATTAAATTATAAAATAACTAACTACTCGTTTGTACGAACTTTGTTAATCTTTTGCGTCTGTGTATTTCGAATGATCGATACCACGTAATTTTATACGAAGCCTTATGTCTTAATTACTTTTGTAAATAACGCATGGATATATTAAATTCACTTACGTGTATAGAGGTTGTAAGGAAATTCTAGATACAAATTGTTTAGAGTAATAGAACTTATTGAAAAAGTAATAAAGAATATTTTACTAATGGCAGCAATTTCATCGCGTCACAATTAACATGACAATTATTCCCTTGAGAAACTTTTCAAATTCACTGAATTACAAGAATGTCTACTGAGAGTATGTACAAACATTTGAGACGAAAATTCATATCTACACGTTTCCACGAAAAGTGCAACATTCTTTGGACAAAAAAAAAAAGAAAAAGAAAAAAAAAAGTAACTCCTTAAAGTATATCATTTATTTCAATATGTTCTATCAATGCACAAAACTTGTAGCCATAATTCCTTTGCCCCCTGCACACAGTATGAAACATTTCAAAATTGAACAGACCAAATTGTAAAAGTGCATTCTTTACACAAAAATTCTTACAGAGAGACTCAGCCGGGATTCCTCTTCATTTCCCAGAGTTGAAAACATCGTCGCATTGTAAACCTGAAACGATAAAAAAAAAAAGAGGTCTCGATTTAAATATACTCCTTTTATCGTTTCGATACGAACAAAAGATGCGCAATATGTAAAAAAAAAAAATAAAGAGAATATGCTTCTATAATTTCTCTGCGAAATTTTGGAAAATAATGAATCATGTGCATACGCCGTTACGTACATCGAACTCAAACAATTCACGAGTACAAAACAGGCGACTGTTGCGAGATAAAACTCCATTCCGCGCAAACTGTTTTGCACAGCCAATTAATTTCATAAAGGGATAAATAAAAATGTCCAAGTAACGCGAGAGAAAAAAAAAATGTACAGCCGCAACGTTGGAATAAAATCAATCGTCGTATGAAAATGATAAAAACAACAAGCGAAAGAGGAACAGATAATGCGACATATTAATAAAATTCATCGGGAACGAGTAAACCGAAGGATTCAACGAGCTATTAACATCGATTTGCATGTTACGCTAACTGTGAAAAATCCATCAAACACATTTTCATTTCTATAATATCGTGTGTCGTTTGAGCCAGACGTACGTTTGAACACTGGATCACAATTAGCAGGCGCGCAATACACGAACACGCGACCAATTGTATTAATGTCGTGTATAACTGTACTCCATATTGTATATATCTGTGTATAAATGCGAATTAAAACGACTATAGAGATAGATTATTTCGTACTATATATATATATATATACACACACACATATATATATATATACAGACGTAATCGGTGTTTCACAAATGGAATTGCGTTTCACGGAGTGTACCCGCCTAAGCCTGTGGATTCCCCGACGAACATTTCGATAGCAAAGGATTACTCATTGACTTGTTATTCCTGTTCGAGCTAACCCTTCGTTTCATCCCACCGCTAATTTCGAACGTAACATCGTACACAAGATATCGACGCTATTGGTTCTCACAGTTTTATCTTCACCGAGTCTAATAAATTATTTAAAGTACAGAAATACATATATATAGAAAACCTTATGTGGACAATTTTTAATAAGCATGTGATTCGTAACATTTTACGATCTGTAAAGTTTTCTTTATAATAATTTTTATTTTTATTTGAGTTTCTCCATTTATCTCTTTATTTATTTATTTTAACTCTGTCAGGACGAAATTCTATCAATGAATAAGTTCGGTACTTCGACGAAATTGACATAAAATGAAAATGCAATCAATGAAAGCTATCGTAAATGATACTCTTGCTCTCCAGTATCTTTTTCGTGTTATGAAACGAAAGGTTAACAAAAAAAAAAAAAATGTGAAACATTATAAATGAAGGAAGCGTCGATAAGAATCGTACGTTCGATTTATACAAGTTGAAACAATTAATAGAGTAATTTAAAAAAAGCATTTGACTGCCATTGCATTAGCTATTGATCATTCGTTAATTAAATCGTATAAAATAATCATTATTCATTTTTGTCAAGATAAATAATAAAAAAAAAAAATTTACCCGATATCTCTAGTTATACAGTTGAAGAAATAATTTAATTAAAAGAAAATCCACGTGCAGTTAATATAGGAGGAAAAAGAAATGGAAAGAAGTGTGACTGTGTATTTTCGCTGTGTTTTATAAATAAATAAAAAGATATATTGCAAAACCAAACACCAGTGTACGTCGTTATATCTTCAATATCTTACAAATATAATATCAACTATATAACAATATTATATTATATTATAATATTTACTATTATATATATGATATAAATATAAATTAAGTTAATATAAACTCACCTATAAAAGTATTACAGGATTCAGCAGTATCCCATCCATCAATGTACTATAAAATACACTGACACACGCGAATTACGTTACATTTCAACCTATTTGGAGATCAAAATCAGATTAGACATACGAATTCCAATCCATTTCGGAAACGAACGAGCACATTTTCGACGAACACGTTCACAATGTGTTTACAACGCGACAAAAGTCAAACACGGAATTACGTTTGCATCGACAAAGGATGACGCACCGCACGCAAGTTTACTTCAAAAACTCTAACATTCTAAAATTAATTCATTAATCGATGGCTCTATAATTAAATTTATAACAATAGAATGCAAGATAAATTTTACCATGTATAACATTAAAACAATTATAAAAATTCAAATCAAACTTGCAAAAAAGACAATCGCGGTATCATAATTCGCAACTCTAAACGCAAACACGATTATTACTTCTTCGCGACTCTAATTTAATCAATTTTTCGCAACTCTAATTCAATCCGTAATCTATCTCTCGCAACGCTAATAAGAATATACCGCGATTTGCCCGAAACGATGATGAACGATGATGGGGAAGAAAAAAAAAAATACAACTACAAATACTAAAAGAGCATAGTGACAAAGTAGTAACAAGAATGACATCCCATGCTTTGGAATCATTTGAATGATCCAGAGGATGAGAAGCCATTTGTTGTGACCCTCTTCGTGGCAGTTTGCCGGGCCTCTTCGGCTTCTGTAGCCTCTTCTTTCTTCGAGCGCAATGCCCGCTGAAACTTACATCTAGCTCGAGTCTTTCTAATCTCAAACCGAAAACCAACTTGAAGCTGACTCCAATACACATGGACGACCATCGATCATAGTGATCGCTGTCCGTTCGCATGTGGGTGCTCGAGCAATACCTACAAAAACGTTCGTTTCGGGACCTACTCGCGACCTACCCGCGACCGCGACCGCGATACTAAATTCGAAAAATCGAAGAGTAAAATCAGAGACAAGTGGCATGCTCTACTTGTACCAATTTCACTGTCGACTTTTCAAATTAGATTTCCTGAAACAGGTTAGACACGCGAAAGGGAGACACGCGACCAGAGACTGTGCCAACCTGCCCGGCCCTACCTACTTATAATTAAACACAGACATACCAGAAAGTATGCTACCTATCCTAACAGTCGCCCTATATTTAAAAAATGGCAAAACAGGCACACCAACACATTCACTCTACGGTTCTCACACATACCACCCGGGCGCGACCTAAACTAGAGAGGACGTCCCGGGACGCCTCCGACACCCGAGCTTAACACACAACTTTCACACTCTAATTTACGTACCATTTTCCTGAAATCGACTGACAATGGCTGGCGAACATTGCGTAAAACGTGATTAAAATACGTTTATATTTATATCCGAAATATTATATAATAACTGAGAAAGAATAATTTCCATAGAAAGTACATGTGCAAGTTGACTTGGAATCATTATTACAACCGATCGTATAATTAATAATATAATCATAGTATAGTCAAGGAGTATTATTACATAAGAAACTCATACTTCAAATCAGTACATAAATATTTTAAATATTTCAATTCATAACAAATGGAACAATAAAAACGACGCAATTCCACATCCTAACCACACATACACACACATGTGGAAAATACGTCGTGCACGATACGCTAACACATTGTCAGTCGCTAAGAAATTTTTTATAAAACTACAAACTATGGTCATCGTGCCCAATGTCTTTCACCCACCCAAGTAGCACCTGGGCACGTGAGTGAGATCCTGACAATGAACACGGAAGGAGTTAAACCTGAAAATCCTGAACTAAAAGAATAATTAGTTTATGTAATTCATATCTAACGGACTGTTGCATTGTTTTATTTCAAACTGAATTGACTTTAAGTTTTCAAAAATTATTGAAATTGCAAAAAAATAAAGACAATAAACAAGACTTGAACTTGTTGAGAAAGATACTATGAACAATTGACTCAAACAATCAAAATCAAACAATTGACTCCAAATTAAATACTGATAGAAATAATCTCAGGCGACTTCTTCATCAAAGCACATTTTCGAAAATGCGAAAGCAGTGTCCAAACTTTGTTGCTTTGATTCAAAAATCTACCTGTCGCGAAGTATCTCTTCTTGCACATAAAATTTCATACATTTTTTTGCGGGAAAAGTTCTAATCTGTTATAATACATTTCAAATTCTACTGCGATTTATAATTATAAAACGTAATTAATTAAATCATTTAATACCATTAGAAAAGGGACAATTAAATTTAAAATTATTAATTACTATAATAAAATATATTACCAGTACCAACAAGTAACTGCATCCTTCATAGCAACGAAATCGGAGGATTTTCTCTACTATGAAATGTTCAAATGAAATCGTTTTAATAATAATTATCTATAAATATTTATAATTCATCTATTCATATGAATATTCAAATAGACTTTTGCAACCATTTATATTGAAGGTACTTTAATTTTATCATAAATGTGTACGTATATCCTGATTGTTAAAATCGCGATGTGCAAGAAGCCCTATCCTGATCTAATACATAAAAAATCTGGAAAAAAATGTTACTACTCACGGGTACAAAAAATACCCGCGGTCACTATGCTCATTAAAAATTCTACGTATACAACCAGTCACTCGTGCCGATTCGAACCTTTCGTCCTACGACATGGTTGAGTGACCGGAGGAACATAAATGCATGCGACTCACGGAATAGATGTGAAGAACGTTATCACCGATGCTGTACTGGAGCAGGAAAAGTTATCATGAAGACTCTCATCGAATAGATACCATTGAGAATCCCATGGTGTAAGTAAAAGCCGTGAAAAATTTCTGAAAAAACATAAAATATTTTCTTTCTAAAGACTCAGTGTTATTTGTGAGATTTTAAATTTAATATGATTTAATAATGATAAAGATTGAAATTGTTTGTGTGAAGTATTTTTATTTTATAATTATAATTTTACATTCAACTGTAGTAGTTTACAAGTATAATTTTACATTCAACAAGAGAACTATAGAGAATAAAATTTGAATACAACGTGCTAAAGTACTTACATTTTTAGCTTTCGAAGCATCGTAAGATTCTTGCAGGATCAGGGGAAGTGGAGACTCTAGAAGATCTGTAACAAAACATTAGAATTTATATTTAAAAGCGAAGCAAAACCTTAAGTTGGAGGTAATGAAAGATTCTTACATTCTTGATTTTAGAGCCACTGTTGGGTTTTCCCCCAAAAATGCAGAAGTTAATGCTGTCAAGCGTCTATAACAAACATCAAACATTATATTACTTTGCTGTCAAATTTGAAAAATTGGATAAATTGATACAATATATAAAACTACTTACGATCTTGATCTCCAGGAGAGGCTTTATCCTCTTGAGCACTGACTCTAACACCGAAAACGAGTATTGAACAAAAAAAATACAAAAAAAGAAAAATAAACTATCGACGGACTCACTGATTCTAACTTCGCGAATTATAATTTAAATGAATTGATTATTTAATTTAATGAGAGCCATTTTGCTCAGAAAAATATTAAAATATTGCGCAACAAACACTGATTCTACTGACCACATTGCGCGCAGTCGCAAAACTTTTCTGAAAATAAGGCTGATTACGGTAAAAGGGAAGGACAAAGAGTACGTTTATTTAGAAAATATTGCTATTTTTTTAGAAAATGATTATAAACTTGAATGTGCATTAAAGATATCAGTTGGAAATTATAAAGTATTTCTCAATATCATAAATATTCAAAAATGTTTGCATAAATCAAAATTTCATAGTTAAATACATAAATATAGTATTTAGAAAATCATACATGTGTGAAATCTTGCTTTGAACCGTTTAATTGCACGTCAGCGTTCGGAAAAAGTATATTGTAGCAAAAGTATGAAAACGTTGAATTTAATAATTTTAAGACAAGAATATATATCCATTTAAAAGTATATACCATTTGAAACAAAATATTAATTAATTTAATCTTTTCCATTTTCATCCTTGTACCCATACAATTACAAAAAATACATATTATGAATTGTATATCAAATATACATAATTATATATTTATACATTCTAGGTAGCGAGTGTTACCTAGAATGAATAAAATGTTACCAACTTTCCGTGAGGGTTCATTAGATTGTTCATTAATGATCGTCTATGCATCCTATGCTATCTTTGCAACCTGCACAAAAAGAAACCAAACGTTAAAACAAATATGTCAAATGTAGGCAAATATGTAATAGTGAAACCATAATCAACTTCAAATTCTACTAAGAAAGCGTATGAGACAAGGTACCGGTAAAAGTGAAATCGATGATTGAAGAAAAATGAGCACGAGACGCTTGAAAATCTTACTTGATGCTCAATGAATCGTCAAACATACGCGTATTAATTAAATAACACTATTAATAAAGCATAAATGGAAGTAAAAGAGTGTCGAAGAAGCGACGCAATCGAAGAGACGCCACCGATAGATTAGGAAAAGTTACGTACTAAACGCGACGTAACGTGTGTTGTTGTCACGAAATCCAGTAGTCGAATGACTCTCTGCCACACGTCTCGTCCTTCAGTTGAGAAAGTAGTAGGGGGGATGGGGAGATCCTGTCCAAACAGGCACGATAATACAGATGAATATAAACATTGTGTTCGTGTTCTTGTTTTTCACTTCGAATTTCCAGCTTCAAGATCTTCTACGCTATACGTAATTTAAGAACTGAACAATTCCATTGCATTACGCAGTAAAATTATTATTTTAACTATTAAATACGTACATTCTTCTTAATAAACTATTGTTGAATTTATTATTGGAATTGTTAGGAATTACGCAGAATGAGGTTAAAGAATCGACAAATGAATAGACAATGTTACAATAGAAGTAAAAGGATATTTTATATATATATATATATATATAAAATAAAAAGATTTTGATATAAAAATTATAAATAACTTTTAGCATAGTATGTCCTGTTTAAATGTTTATGTGCTATTATTTCTTTAATTGTTGGAAATTATATGTAATAATTAGGTTAAATGTTACTTTGAGATGAAGCCGAAAGTGCACGTTTTATTTTAAAACTACACAACACAAACACAAATCTAACAACTGTTGATTTATATTTTTACCTGAGAACTTTTGAATGATACTTCTTTCTAGGTGATTTTTCTAGATATGGGGTGATTCTTCTTTATGGGTGATTTGTTCTTTACAGATGAAGTGTGTTTCTTTCCGCCATGTTTGCCGCTTAAAAATCGATCGTGAGAAATCGATTATTGATTGGTTCAAGAGTCATAGGAAGTATATTACGTACTTCACCGCTGGGGCGCTGTAATCGCGTGTTTCATACTTGGAATAAAAAGTAGAAAGCTCTAGTCTAAATGAAATACACAAAATTGATGAGAAATTCTTTAAAAGGAACGAAAATATTCACACAATTGATGAAAAATTGTCACTACTTTAAACTGAGACATGAGAAATTTTATTATATTACGCAATAGATTTATTATTTTAGCCATTAAATACGTACATCTTTAATAAATTATTGTTAAATTTAATATTGAAATCGTTAAGAATTATGCAGTAGGAGTTTAAAGAATCAACAAATGAATAGAAAATGTTACAATAGAGGTAAAAGCATGTTATGTATATTTATATGATAAAAAGGTAGTCATATTACTAGGTCACAATATTTATTATGGTTAGAATTGAAATTAAATTTTGGTCTAAAATTATAAATAACTTTAAGCACAGTACGTTCTGTTTAAATGCTTATGTGCTGTTATTTCTTTAATTGTTGAAAATTATATGTAATAATTAGGTTAAATGTTACCTTAAGATGAAACCAAAAGTGTACGTTTTATTTTAAAACTACACAAACACAAACACAAATCTAACAACTGTTGATTTATATTTTTAGAGAACTTTTGAATGATACTTCTGTCTGGGTGATTTTTCTGGATAATATGAATTTGTTCTTTACAGACGAGGTGTGCTTCCTTCCGCCATGTTTATTGCTTAAAAATCGGTCGCGAGAAATCGATTATCGATTGGTTCAAGAATCGTAGGAAGTATGTTGCATATTTCACCGTTGAGGCGCTGTAATCGCGCGTTTCGCGCCAAATGATAATTTAGAATAAAAAATAAAAACCTCTGGTCTTAATTAAACACACAAATTCATAAGACATTCTTAAAAAAGAACGAAAATATTCATACACTTGATGAAGAATTGTTAATATTTTAAACTGTTATAATTTCTTGAAAAAAAAATTGTAAAATAATTAACTTGATTTTATTTTAGAGTCTTAACAAATGACTTCAAAATTTTGAAAACGAACGATCTGCAAAAAGTAATTTACAGCACACAATATAATTTTATACCAAACAATATTTTATACCAAACAATATTTGTGGAAACATTTCTTTGATATTTCTAACCTTTTATAAAATCGAGTTTGCAGGATTCATTCAGACTCTGAAGTTACACACTAAAATAAGTAAACGTCATATTTAATTCACACCTGATTATGTTGTTAAAAAATATTATTTCTAATACCTTTAAATAGATATAAATAATAATACATTTTTCATCCCAATTTCCATCAATCGCTATTGTTAAATCGTTATATTCTTTCATAGACGAAGTACCACCACGTCCGATTCAATAAATAATTCTCGAAACAAAGGTGGCAACACTGTTCATACTTTTTGATTTTAATTCTCATCACTAGTAGAGCTACGGTGCAAAATCTGCCTGAATCGGTATAACAGGGTGTGACACGAAAATGGTAATAAAGTGTTCAGCACCTTATTATCGTGGCCGAAAAAGTACATTGCAATGTCTATTCATATTCATATTTATCTATTGTCTGTGGCAATAGCATTATTAATACGATGAATTTCACTTAAAATACATCTTGCTTTTTTTCTAAAATATTATCAATAGGAATCGATCGAATTTATCAATGTAGTACCCGAGACTTCTCACTGATGTCACTTGAGTATTAATTGCAATCTGTCAACTTTTTAGGTTAATATTAAATCTATAATGATTTAATTTAAGCAAATGTAGCTCTAAGTAATTTAAGCAGATGTAGCTTACGTGGCTTTACACCAAACGAACGAATGCTCGTTTGCCTATGTTCCGATCAAATTGCTTGTATTCGTGCTTGTATCGTTGTGTTGATTAAACGAGTATTAGTTAAGATAAATGAGCGCGAATTTATCGGAGTAAGCTGAACGAGCATTCGTTCGTTCAGCCACAGACGAAGACTGTGATTATATGAACAACGCAATAATAATAAATGCCGATAATTTCGTTTAATTGAAGTGGTATAGTGACTAGTTACAGTCGCGATATCTTTGCTACCTGCGTTATTAGATAATTTCTCTGAAATTTTTGCACTACACGGAGTTGCTCTCCAACGTTTTAACATATGCGTGACATGTACTCATTTGTATTGTGTACTTCAAGAATTATTGAATCTTTCTAGTAAGTTGACATAACACGAAAATATTAAATACATATAGTTTATACATATTATGTGTTTGTCTGTCCGTATCCAGGCTATCAGATGTTTCATATTCAACATTCTCACATGTATAATCCATGTAGTAATCTATCAAAATTTAAACATTTGTTAAATTTGAAAATATTTTTCAATCAACAATTCTTCATAAATATCGGGGAAACTGTTCATTTCCGTGAAAAATGATCTTGATTTCAGCAATCCAAAATATCCCCGAAATAATATTTGAACATTTTATACCATTTGGACCAAAAGTTTTGCTTTCAGGATACTGAAGTACAACAATGCTGTAGTACATATGATATGGTATGTAATACCATGATACTGTAGCATAAGTTTTAAGACAAATATTCTTTTCACTGCTACATTAAATCAAACATTATTTTTTTTTATATAAATTTGACGAAATGTTGGAATTTTCCATAACGTGTACATTATCGCATGCGCCATCAGATAAGCATACCTGTTTAAATCCCATCCACAAACTCCTGGATTCCTTTATCGCTGAAATCGCAAGTGAATGAAATTTGGAATCGTCTGATTGAAAAAAAAAAAAAAATGCTAGGAAAGAGGAGAAAGAAAGGAAAAAAGAAGCACATTGACGAGTTTGAGCTTCGTAGAGAACTGAGGAAACAAAGGCGGTCAACAGAATTATCCGACGAAGAGATTATGACTAAAATAGAGCTACCAGAACATCCGGAGGAAATCAGAATCGGGGGAATCGAGGGGTGTGTAATTATAAATCATTTTTAATTTTTTCTATATTCGTCATTTTTTTACGAAATTAATTTACGAGAATCGTGGAATTTTAGCTGCGACTGATAAATATATTTTATGATTTATATTTATATTTATACGAATGACGATTTGATCGAAAACGAATCAGAGGCTCGACCTTAGAGCTATCAAATAATGGATTAACAAATTGACATAATGAATTTAATAATTCTCAGTGGCGGGACGCAATCCACTCTGATCGTCATTGATGGCAAAGGGACACCATTGACGGAAGTCAAGGGACCGAGTACCAATCATTGGGTAATTGATCAACCCTTTTTCTAACGATCACTATTCATCCCGTTTCTAATTTCTCATTCCTTATTGTCTTTTTTCTTTTTAATATTTTGAAATTAGTTTCTTTCTTTTACTGTTTTATTTTATTTATTTTTGTATCCAGGCACTCGGAATGGAGGAGACAGCTGCTAGAATTAACGTCATGGTGGAACGGGCGAAACAAAATATAAAAATGTCTGAATTAATTCCCTTAGATTGCTTGGTAAATATTAAGTTATCATTCACACTTCCCGTGAATCATATCGATGACTAATTTCGTTTCTAGGATCGTATACGATAAACGATCGTTCTCATAGCTAGCGAATGAAATTATTTAATTTGAACAAAAATTCTAATCAATTAAACGATTAGGGTCTGACTCTAAGCGGATGTGAAGAGGAAAGTTCCAGTCGTCAATTAATAGAAACGATAAAAGAAAAATATCCAAATGTTGCTAAGGATTATTACATCAATTCAGATACCATGGGTAGTCTCAGAACTGGTTTGGCAAACGGTGGGATAGTTTTAATTGCTGGCACCGGCAGCGGCGCGTTGCTGATCAATTTGGATGAAACAACCATAACATGCGGCGGATGGGGACATTTCATAGGGGACGAGGGCAGTGGTACGTGGTCGCAATTGCTCATGCTATGATTCAAAGCTATAACGTAGAAGACATTTCTTAATTATTCTTTTCTTCATTTCACAAATCACAAATCTATTAAATTTTGTAAAATAATCATTTCTTAACTATTTAATACAAATAAAATGGAATCTTAGAATTACTGCTTTAGATACTATCTTTTAAAATTCTATCCATAAAAGTATAAATTTTATATAAACACTCGTAATCTAATTATTTAAAAAATGAACTTTCAGCTTTCTGGATCGCTCATAGAGCTTGTAAGTATGTGTTCGACGATATCGATGGCTTGAATCCAGCACCTAAATCCATAAGCTACGTATGGCCAGCTATAAGGCATTATTTCAATGTAACCAATGTGAGAGAATTATTGCCGCATTTTTATAACGACTTTGATAAAACCACTTTCGCCAAATTTACCATGGAGATTATGATAGGCTGTGAGAAAAAGGACCCACTTTGTTTATATATTCTTCAGGAAAATGGAAGACATCTCGCGAAACATATTATAGCCCTTTCGAGGAAAGCCCATAATGTGAGTTGCTTGTTCGTGTGATTTGCAAATTGAAACAGTTTGTTACGAGAAGTGTTATTGTTTAGGATCTCAAGTTAGCTAAAGGCGGATTGAAAGTTATTTGCGTGGGATCAGTTTGGAAATCGTGGAATTTTATGAAAGACACTTTCATCGATGAAATTCACAAGTCCCACGCTTTAGACGAATTAACTATGATCCGCTTAACAGTATCAGCTGCATTGGGTGCGTGTTATCTTGCTGCTGAGAAGATCGACTGGCTATTCACGAAATCTTACGAAGACAATACCGAAGTGTTTTATCACTATAAACGATCAAATTATGTAAAACCAGAAACAACGAAAGACTTGATAGAGCCAACTGGAGACCAAGTTCCGTGTCCCAATGTCATCAAGCATTGGTAAGCACAGATAAAAATAAAAATAGGAATAAAGTCTGTATTTTATGCTCGCACTTTTCATATATCTTTTATATGCAAAATATATAACGTAATAATTTTTTAAGTACTGCAGTCGTAGTATTGAAATGATAACTGTATATAATGCTCAAAAATAAGGAAGAATAAACTTATTGTTAATTATAATTGAAATTTTCATTCGTATCATAATTCTACAATTCATCGATAAAAATTTTCTCTTCATTGTGCTATAATATATTGAATAACATGTACATATGTATATGTATTCGAATATAGTATCGAATGATATATATATATATGTTCACAATCAGTCTTTTTTTTGTTTTTGATAAATTTTAAAGTATTACGAAAAATGATACTGAAAACAATTTGGGATTGGTTATTTTGCACGTTTCTGTTCATTTTTAAGACAGTAGGATACATGTTCCTTTTCCTTGTCAGTTTGACATTTTTTGTTACTTCTACCTGCTTATTGATAATCATAATCCTGCAAATACTTGGTTACAGATTTCCATCTGAACATGACAACTGAGATTTAATAAAAGGTATTTATTTTTCAATTTTGTATTATTTATAAAATAAGAAATTATTTGATAATATAATAGTAAAAGGAATGAAATAATATGTTTAAAGTCAAATATAACAAGTATCTGAAAAATATATTTTGACTCGATATCACAATTTATTACGTATATGCTAATATTCGTAATGTAAATGAACATTACGCAGGTCGTAGACCGCATTTATTTGCTTGAATCGACTTTTTCATATTTTCCCACCAAGCACTGAATTCATGTTTATATGACTTTTAATTTGTCTCAACATAAATATTTTTCTTTTATATGTTAATTTGTTAAACATGAACATAGAACTTGGGTCTAGTGTAACAAATATTTTCTGTAGATTTAACAATTTAAGGTACGTTCGTCAAAATATACATAATATTTTTAACACTAACGTGCTATGTATACGTACTTGTCCTAAATGACGCGACACGACGAAATTTTATATTCGTTTGAACTGTAATCTCTACTTGTCATTAATTTCAATCTTTTAACGGTCAATAGCAATATCAATATTTTACAAACAAATGCTTCTTTAATTACAATAATCTTTTCATATTTCAACAGCAATTAGCTACAATATTGTCCCGTTGATATCGACGTGATCATTTCTATTTAATTCAAAATTAAAATAGTTCCTTTTTCTTGAAATAAAAATTCAAATTAATTAATTAATGACTATAGTTTGTTAGTTTCAAACATCTTGTTCTCTTATATTTACGCTGCTATCCTAAGCTGAATACGGAAAACTTTTAAGAATCAAAACTTTCCGCAGATTTGTTAATAGCAATTTTATAAATTTAAACATTCTGAACGGGACATTATTGTACACAGATATACATAGATATCTCAATATACTTTTAATATATTCTACAATATATTTTTATAGACATAAATTCTGAAACGAATAAACTTTTGGCGACAATATTATTTATATAACATTACGTTTCATGTACACTAAAACTTATATATACATATGTATGAATTTAAATTTTGATAATTTATAACATTTTTTTCTTAGATATTATTGCTATATATTATTTATATGAACATGCGACTATTAATATAAATTAATAATAGTCTTGCATTACTTCTGCCACTCGATGGAATAATCGAAAATATTACAAAATTAATCTTTATCCGCTGTGCTGAACACAATCAATGTTTCAAATCAAATATTTCTATGAGAAGTGGTTCTACCCTCGACGGATTTAAATTAAGATACACTCCAACGACTTCGTTGTTTAATCTATGAAGATCGGAAATCTTCTGAATTAATTTTAGAAACATAGATTTGGCTTCGCATCCAGGGTATACACTTTCTAGATATCGTCTGAGCAAGTAGTAATAAGAATTCTATGAGAAAAAATAGATTACTAATATTTATTTAAAGAATTATCGCATACAGAAAAAATCATGTTGGACTTACTTGTTCCAATTTAATTACATCATTATGCACCACTTTTGGCCTATCTGGTGTAAACAGAGCAATCGCACTTAAAATCAAAATAATATTCTCATCTCTCCATCTAGGATCGAAACTTCTAATAAATCTTGTATGCTCTGCGTAAAGATTTCCTTTTGCTTCCTTTAACACATCTACTTTTATATTGGACATACTTTCTTGACTATGTGGTATCCACCACATGTCTTTCTCAACATCGTAATTGAGTGCCGATCTTAAAATCATCATTTCCGTGCAGCCCCCTTTCAAAAGAGCTATTTGATCCTCTTGACACATATTTTTAAAGGCGTTTATCTTTTTCGCCATCTTTATTAAACGCCTAATGGCGATGGCAGTAAGATTTACAACATCCAACAATGCCGGATCAGATCGGCCAAAATTATTCTGAAACCGAATACACATATTTAATGAATGTCAACATATAAATCATGTTTTTCAAGCTACAGCAAATGCTACCTTAAATTTACAATCTTCTCCAATTAAATTTGTTATATCCTCGTCTAAAGGAGCTAATAACGCTTTGTTGGCTACTATCAGTTCATTTAACTTTGCTCTTTCAGCATCGTTTAATACCCTTCTAGTCTCCATGCCACCGAGAGCAGAATATGCTGAAAACTCTAATTTAATTGCTTCACAAAGTATAGACTCAATGGAATTTGCAGCAATTGGTACTCTGAAATGTCATTCACAAACAACATGTTGTATAATGGTTTCTCAGACTTGGAACAAACTCGAATTTCGACTGTACCTTTGTACATCCTGAAGCACATCTCTTGTGACATCCGATAGATTTCTATTCCACTCATTAGAATCGTCGCGTTGCCTTATACATTCCTCTTGACTCGAATTTGTAATTAAATCGGTCAAGATTGGATTTTCTACTTGTTTCTGTTTAACTTTAAACGTTGTTTTAAACGTGTGACTCGAGTTATTATGATTTGGTTTCGTATCATCTTTGAAATGAGTATTTGTCTCCTTCTCAAGCGATGCTTCTTTGTCAACAACAATGCCGCTTCTTTTGAAAAAGTGCGAAGTCTGAGGATCTGCTTCCAATTTACTAATAACAACAGGATCTGACATAATTTTTAGTAATAATTCTTCGTTTTGAAATATTTTCGTGATAAAATTTGAATTATTAACAAGTTTTGTAATCAGAGTGGAATCTTCAGGTAATTTATTACTAACGAAATTATCTTCTTTTGAACACGTTTCCCTGCTCTGCTTTTGACTAGATACAGTTTCCTGTGAACAAATTTGCATATTCGTATGCATTCCCGAATCCATATCTACATTTGTCTTTCTGTAATGCGATGTATGCTCAATATATTGGGAGTTCTGTACAGGGCTACAATCAAACTTATTGTAGCAGGATGCATTGTCAAATTCAGGAGAATATTTCACGGATTCATGGTTAGCAGGGGAAAATTCAGAATTCAAATCTAACATATTTTGATCAAATTTTCTTGAACCTATTATTGATTTTTTATCCTTCTCTACATTGTGAGAGGATGGTTTAACTTTGTCAAATCTTTGCTGACTTTGGGAAGGAGAATTTGAATCCATTCTCAACCTCTCTGTGTCAACTTCGTTCTCCTCATGAGCCGAAGAGGAATGATCATAAGTTTCAAAATTGGAATTCTGAGATGAATCTTTCATCATGTCCAGTGTCTTTGACCCACTTATAGCTTCATTTTCTGGTGGACTAGAAGGACTTGGTACACTTGCAGCTGTCACTGGGCTCAAACTCTCAGTTACGCTCTGCCTGTTTGCATCTAAATCCGTGTATTTCCTATCAGACTCCCAGAAGTATGTGTCAGACGCAGTCGATGCAACCGAGTTAACTGACATAGAAGTGTCGTCAAAGTTGCAGTCATCCAAGTAACCTTTCTTTATTTTTGATGGTTTTGTATTTTCCAATGTTGGCCTCTTCTTTGCACGATTCTGTTCTATTTTTTGTCTCTTTAATACCTTGTCCTCCTCAGACATGATATATTCCTTCCTCATGCCTATGCTGAAGCATTTGTCTAGACGACATTTTTGACAAAAGCGTCTAGTAACTGGTGTTATGTTACAATTTTCAGTAAACGGGCATCGAAAATCCTGCAAAAATGCAATAATAGTAAATCTCTCATTAACAATTCAGCGATATCATGATATAAACATTAATTATTTCTTTGTTATCTGATCGTTACGTTATCACGGAAATTAAATTTGATATCCAAACCGCCTTATTTATGAAATTATCTATAAAAATTATTGGTCAACACAGCAATCTTGAACTGAATCGATGATGGTGAAAAATTTAATACTTTGTAAAAGATTAAACATCTATCTAGTGCTCCACAGAGGGAATTGCTGGCGATCATATTCTCAACTAATTACGCGCGATTGAAATCGAAGAGTCTCTACGTTTCTTTAGAAATAACACGAGGGACTCTCAAATTAATCACCTTGTTCTTCAAAGCATTCCGTCGGAAGAAGGCTTTGCAACTTTCGCACGAAACCGCGTTAAAATTGTAACCGAGCGCCCGATCGCCGCACACACCGCATATCTTATTCGTCTCTCTCGCTGGCTGTTCATCTTCCATTGCTCCCCCGAAACGGAATTTCTCGGGTCGACGAGATCAACACCTTGACTTTTAACGCACAATTTGGTATTCCCGCTCGGAGTCACGCTTCCTCGGCGAGTGATTCATGTTAGTGTCGTTACCACCGCATCGTGTCTGCGACGAAAACTGACGGGAACAGAAGTCCAGCGATCCTGATCGCGGATCCTCACGATTTCGACCCGTGTGGCATCTTCGACGCAACGCCCCGGATCCGCGAGTGATACCGTTTGAAAAGGTTTAAGTGACAAGCTAAATGGACCGCTCAATTGGCATTCAGTTACAAGTAGTTAACAGGGTGGTGCGCATAAGCCTATCGTGTGTTTCACTACTATTGCACGTCCTCCCACTACGTCATTGTCTGCGAACGGCGTGACGTCACGAATGTAACTAGCCTCCCGTCTAGCGTCTAGGGAATTTTTCAAAAATTCCCACGAAAGGAAACGCGCTCGAACTCCCGCGTTCTCGCAACGATTTCTATCAAGCGTTCAGCGTTCAAATTCTCGATTCGGTTTGTACATTAAGAATATTACGAGGCGTACCGTGTTGCTGCGTGAGTAACTCGTAGCTAACTGTTCGTTCACAGAGATAACGCATCAAAATTTTTTGTTTTTTACAAGGCACTCCACTCGCTCCTCGCGCGTATTATCGTAACTGTACAACTTATAGAATATCGAGGGAACTACGTGCGTGTATGGATCGTTGATTCATCGTCGAGCATAGATCTTATCGAGGTATATATCAAACGCACAAGTTGTCCAGTATCGTGCTCCTCTTAATTGTGTTGCAGTTGTTGAGTAATTGGTTCAAAGTTCACGCGCACACAGGTCCACTATATATCGCCGAAGCAAGGTCGATCTTAGATGTACAACTCCGACTTGTAATGCAATACATCGGTTCATTGTTTCCACGATCGAAAATTGATTCACATATGATGAAAGAATTCGTGTGATCGTCTGAAATGCTGAAACTGGTAGATTTAGAGAGCGAGAGATAAAAAGGGACTGAATTACGCGAGTATTTACTTAATTGATATGTATTATCGTTATCGATCATCGAACACGGCGCGAGATAAACACGTTGGAGTAAACTGTCGGCTGGTCAATTCACATTCATTAATATCAATCGCGTTGAATTTCAATTGATTAATAAAAGAGATAGAATGAAAGAACATTTGTTAATATAAAATTTATTATAAATGTTTATTATAATATCTACATAGCGATTAATCAAATACTCTTTAGATCCAGGAAAATGAGAGTATATGCAAATCCTTTTTATAGCTACTGTAGATCACACATAAATGATTAATTAATATTATTGTATGCACGATTGCTCGTTCAGTTCTCGTTTTGTGTAAAAACAACCCCATAGAATAAAGATTCTATTAAATACTCGAAATAAAAGAACTATTTCTTAAAAATTATATATAATTATAATATATCACTTTTATTTTGACAATAACGTGACAAAATGTAAATGCACAGATTCACAATCTACTGGTTGACTTTTATTAATCTACGTTCCGATATAAATACATATCGGGAAGTACATCGAGTCTCAAAAGTAATTAAATATAAAAACAAGAAACCAGTTTCAAGGCCATTTGTGTTCATTTAAATATGGCACTTAGCAGTCTAGTAAGTAATTAATGTCAATTACGCGTAATTAAGTGTCATTATCATAGCAAAGTAGAATATTAAAAAAATCATAGCAAAGTAAAATATTGAATTTGACCTTAAACTTGTAGTTTCTGATCCTTGTTCTTCCTTGACCTATTTAACATTGACACTATACATGTCAATTAAGAAAAAGAATGATGTTGAAGCTTTAATGCTTTTTTGACTACAATATTTCCTTTGATTTTCCATAAATTCTTGAAATATATCTATATATATCGAAGAGAGTTATTCCGAATTATCTTGTAAATTGCGGAACACATTATTCTCACTCAATAGTAACAGTTACTTGCACATTCAATTTTTGTACTTAAATATTTTTTTTTATGCAATCAGTAGCAACGAAGAATTGTTACTTTTTGTTTGAACTGAATTAAATTTATTTCTTTAAATTATAATAAATCGAACAAGACGCGGTACGAATCTTTCTCGACAGTACCTCAAGATTTTATTATCAAAGAAAGGTCTTATTTACAAATTCGCAGCATTATATTCATTGCTTAACTTATATAATTGAATTATCTTGTAAAACCGTACAAACGAGTGTACAAGAACGCAAATTATAATATTGATATGTATACAAAATGATTGTTCTTTCCGTTGCAAAATGGCAACAAGCATGCATCGATATACTCCTCGTATTTCAATTCGCAAATTCAACATTAAAATACTGTTTGTATTAAAAATATATGCAATTCATATCATGAGAGACATTTTTGTAAACACTAAATATTTCTCCACGTATGTATTACGATTCGTCACGTATTCATCGCGTACATAAGACGATTCATTCGAACCTTATAAAAAATATACAAATTCGATGGGTCGTGAGTATAAAAGGCACTTGTTGAAACAAATACATGTAAACCATCATTTGATTTTGAATTCCTCTTGAAATTCTTATTTAGGCAGTGTTTGCGTTGCACAAGCTGGTGTGTGAAAGATTTTAAAAGTTCATTTGGCCGGAGTGTCTGTTAATTTCGTGCTTCCCATTTCAACGCCACCGCTGTGGAGCACTAGCTCCTCCCTCGTGTAAAACATCACGATTTCCTCGACGTTCGAGAACGATTTCTCATTTACTTTCGCTGATCCTAATGCATACCTATTTGAAAAATATACAACACTTCATTTTGTTCGATTTCTTATGAATAGTTTAGTACGTTTCTACTGAATATTTTACTTTTTTCCTTTGAATCCTCGACTATTACAAATGAAACTTTACTCCATGCAAATTTTGTTTCGATATTGTCACCACGCGATAATACTACATTGCTCTTCATCTGCTATCGAATAACGATAAAAGTTTTAACTTTTAATTTAAAGAAGCCACAATAGCCATAATTTATAGGATAATATCTATCATGATGTCTCAAGAGATATTTTATCACTTTAACATTCTTTATTTGTACTAATTTTTCATCTGTTTCCAATTATTACAGAACAAGTCCAGTGCTTAAGAAAGATATACGGACATGGGAACGTTAGTGTGCAAAGTTTTCTTACCTATTGTCAGGCCTTTTTCTGACTGGAACATTATACACTCTATCCTTGTACCAGAGCACCAGAGCCAAGGGATTGTTCACATTTGTTGTAGACGGTCTCAAAAGGAAGTGTCCGTCTTGAGGGTTGCCGTAAGTACTTTCTACACGTGGCACAGTGATTCACAATACATTATTTAATTACTTGATCATTTTTATGATCAATTTCCACGACAGTCAGTATTCTATTTTCATTTTAAATTTATTCTGACAAGGACTTACGTTCCTTGATAAGAGCTGTTGCTTGTTCTCTGGTGACATTGTGGAACCACGGCTTATCAACGTACGATTGTCTTTCAGGCGGTGGAGGCAATGGTCTCGTAGCCCTTTCCGACGATAAGGAAGTGTTGCTATTAGAGTGAGGCAACGTGGCCGATTTTTTGTCGGGAGATCTCTCTGAAAACAGCAATAAAACGCACGTTAAAGCACACGTTTCTTTCGCAATTCATTCATTTCGCTCGTGAGATATATATTGAAAATATGCGTAAAAATATGGTTCGAGGCCAAATGTTTCACTAACTTGCTAAATTCAGGCGGGCTTGAGTGAGAGCGGCCTGAGTCAAACATTCTGAAAGACTCGCTTGACGACGAATCGCAGTGTTTAAGGACACGTTTCTTTTTGGATCGCCGATGATTGTCGCCATTTTTCGCAAAAACCTTCACGTTCACTCGGAGGCAAGAGATTACTTACAATTTTTCACACGTTATTTATCAGAAGTACATTCACTTATACATATATTGTCGCAAAGTTTCATTTTACGAAGGAGTCCATTGTTTCAAAAATGTGATTTTCGCAAACTAAGGCGCGTCTGTTGTTTCTTAGACGATAGACTCGAAAATAGAAGGAGGAACTCACTGTTTTCCTAGTTAGTTTCACTTGCAAATGATTCTGCACGCCGTAAAATAGAATCAGAAACAAGTGTCGACTTCAAGGATCACCGGTTTCACTATTTCTATGTCTCCCACGTTTGAACTGATGCAACTGCGCTCTAAAGTGTATTCCTATGTAATATCCAGATACTGTAGGAACAAATATAAAGCTCTAAATCTAATCTATAACGTAAAGAATTGCAATTTCCTTTTATAAAGCGGTAAACAATTATTTAACAAATTCCTTATTGGTCCAAGTACTCAGAAACTATTTAACTAATTTCGGGACCTATTCGAAAAATTTCTCGTAAGATTGAAAGACACTGACTGCATACGACCCGAACTCTCTAAAATCACCGCACAAACTGACGTTTAATCCAAATATCAGCCGAATAAAGTATCTACAAAGCTCGGCGGCCATCCGTTGGTCTCTTAGCATGGGGCACACTCTTCAAAGTTTAAAAATATATATTGGTTACCTCGCACGTATTTCGAGAATGTTTGAAGTTGTCGGTGTATTCCCAATTTAGGAAAAAGAAAAGCTTATTGAGCGTTTTTTCTACCGAAAAGTTTGACGACTCGGTCATTCAAGTATAAACCGTGGAATGTGCAAACGACATGACATGTGAGGAAATTCACTTCGTAAGGGATTTATTGTACCTGGTGGCTCAGGTGGTTGCGAGTAACAACAACGGGATAGTCCCCGTTTGATCCTCACTATCATATCGGAAACCTCATCGGCCAAACGGGCGCCCAAACCTCCCACGAGCTGTTTGCTCAGTCTCAGATAAAAGCAGGAACACATTCCATCCCACTGTTTCTTCTTCTGTTTCCGTTGATAAGATTGGAAGACGTAGCTCTTTTTTTTCGTTTCGTTTTGTTTTATTTTGTTTAATCAGCTTTTGGGAAATTGCGATCTCTTCGAGGCATTGCTCTTCCGTTTAAACAACAACTTTGCAACTCTGCACTTGGCATCTCTGATATTACTCATATTACACAATTATTATTTCTCTTAGGAACAATTTTATTTCTTCGTAATTTGCATGTGTTGTTACTTGTGTTAACTGGTAAACTGTTACCACTGATAATTTGATTGAAAATGTTGGATATATCGGTAGGAAACGGCTCGAAATAACGGGAACGATAGTTCATCCATGACTGGCTGCAATTTCAATGTGCATCAGGTTGCAACGACATTGCCAGCCATTTGCCGCGCACATGTTTATGAGAAGTTAAGGCACCGAGAGCTTTTTATTCCTTCAATTTAATGCGGCCTGCACTTTTTGCCCCATGCTTCGTAACACGTTGCATCTCTCATTTTCAACGAGCTCTGTTTAATTTCCTTTGTTATCGTGGCATTCGCATTAACATTCTATCATATCTTCCTCAATATTTGCCACTGCTTACTTCGCACACACGCACAAAGGATTAAAAATAAGAATTAAAAAATTGTACAAACCTTTCAGTTTGTCCAGGTCTGTTTGATTTAAAGTTGGAGAGGGGGTAGTCGATGCCTGGGGAGGTTTCGCTGGTAGTGGTGGGGGTGTTTCTATATTCGTTGACTTTTGAGTGGGATTTAAATAGTATCCGCTATCATCTGGCTGGAAAAGCAACTCTCGCTCAACTTTCCATTGAATTAATCATTATAAAATGAAAATAGAATTTATGGACTTACTGTTTCCGTAATCGATTCGTAAATTTTATAGTGTTCTTCGTCCTCCTCGTAACTTGTAATACTTGGCGGTTGATAAACACTCTCCGCAGAACTCTGATGACCGCTGCTCAATGATTGCTTGCTGTCTACCTTCAACATGTTCTTCCTTTGATTTTGTTCAATTATTTGTTCATCGAACGTTTCGTATTCGTCCTCGCTTTCTTCTGTTCTTGTAGGCAAATTCGCGACCAGATCGAGGTTCCTAAGCGTTGCCGGAGGCTTTGGTTGATCTTTGCTCGATCTTTCAATGATCGTTTGGTCTTTGTTCTTTTTCGGCTGTGGCGGAGGCGGCACCGACATCCTTTCTGAAATCATTAGTTAAAATACAAATTACTTGTTAAATTATTCGACATAGGAGAGATATGATTTTATATTATCAACATTTCATTAATTAAAAACGAATTAATCAAAAATTATTTTACAATTTCATAATTAGAATTCCTTTCTTTTCTTGCTAATACTATTTACTAACTTTGACTAGGGTTGTTTGCCTTGGACTTCGACACATTGTGAAGGAACGATTTCCGCGGTTGAGTAACATTCAGAACCGAGACCTCCACGTTTTCCCCTTTCAACGCTTCGGACTTCGTTGCTATTACTGGCTTTTTAGTATTTCTAAATTTCAGTTGCTCTTTCAGTTGCTCGGCCAAAGATTTCTCCGTTTGACTATGCAGCCTGGACGTATTCCTCAATGGTATAGTGCTTGACTCTTGACAATTCGCATACGCGCTTTCGTCATCCTGCACGGGGCCGCAATTGGCATAAGTTCCTTCTTCCTCTTGTCTAGAGATTTCCTCTGCTCGTATATCTTCTTGTTTAAAGTCTGCGTTATTTTCTGAAGCTTTATGATTACTTATAGGCTCATAATTTGGCTGAGATATTCTTTGAATTTCCGGAAAGACACTTTCCTCGTTTGCTTCGTCCTCGAAGTCAGTCCCCCAGGAGCCAGTGTCGCTCAAGTGGTCCTCGTTCGATTGACTCTCAAGGATCTTTTCCTCTACGAATTTTTCAGGTGACTTCTTCACTTCCTCCACAAATGTCCACAAACTCCTGCAAAAGAATTAATACACGTTTTCTATACTACATGTTATTATTGATACATTGTTCAGAATTGGCGTAAAAAAGAGTTAAAGAATCGTATAAATGAAACCTTTAACAGCGTTTATGAATTTTACAGATTTTGCTCCAACTTAAAGATATATTGCTTATGTTATCATATTATAGTAAAACTTGTCTTTAAGATAGCTGTTATAAAAAATGTCAATCATAAAAATATGATCTGTAAGCGGCATATAAATAATATGTTATATTAAATTTAAAAATTTTAAAATGAAAGGCTAAAATAGTCTGTTTGATCAGAGACTCCTTTGCACACTGCTTCATAATATAAGATATATAGTTTTTTTTTTTTAAATCTCTGCTTCATACCGTCGCTGGAAACATTTATCTCCTAATTATTAAGAACAGCATGATAATGTCGCCACGTGAACAGTCGCGTTGTTGTCAAGTGGAATTCCCTTAATAAAGGAAGATAAATTTCGTGGTGTCAGTGGCGATATTGAATGGGGGCGTCCCACACGAATAGAATTACGCACTTATGGCACCAGCTTGTATAACCGGAGCCATACTGTCTTGTTAGCATGGCCTTCAGAAATGCCAGCCGCAGCGTATTTCGATTTTGCCCGCCGAGCCATTGAACCTGCCTTCTTGGCATGCATACTGCGTCTCGCGACGCTTTCCATAGCATCATCAGCTCGCCAAATTTTTCACCGGCTCGATCCACCGCGATGCTTATTAGAATCGCTCGCTCGTACAGCTGTTGTAACATCAATAGAATGCAAACAATTCAATCTCTGTATATATATATGTACAGTTCCTGACGATGATACAACTCTTCTGTTCGCGCGAGGTTCAACAATAGAATGTAAGTGGAACGCACGTTTTAACACCTGCATCATTGTTTAGATTTGAAGTTTTCACATCTCCTTTCCTCTCTAATTAACGATAATTTTGTTTATCGCGTTAGGCGCCAACTTGGCCACGAAATGAATGAAACTGGCTTAACGCCGTTAAATGTTAATTTTATGAAAGAAAAAATATTTGGAATGTTACGATAAATTGATAAATTGTTGCTTGGTCCTTAATGGTTACACAGGGCACTGGATGGGTTTAGAATTGTATGAATTTTTGTATATATAAAATTTCCTTTCTTACCGTTTCGAAACATCCGGAAGAATTGAAGTTTTATTATCTTTTTTTCTTTGTTTGTTTTTTTTATTCAATTTAAAATATTCAATCACTGTTTCATAACAATCTGTATAATATATTTTTGCTTAAAAGACAAACAATGCAAACATGCCTTGAAAAATAAAAAACAAAAAAAAATGGAGGGCACTTTAATTAAGCAGGAAGATTTTTATCTTCACTATATCAATGCTTTTAATAATAAAAATTAGACTTGAATATATAATAATTTGTGACAGACAAATGGCTAACTAGATAAATTGATTTTTGTTATTATGATTATTGTTTTTAAATAATACAATACAACATTAATTTCACCACTTTATAAGTATTAAAAAATATAAAGTTCAAGGTTGTTGTTTTCTTTTTTTTACTTTCGATTTAGATTTCGAGCAGCGAGTAAGCTAAGCTGAAGAGTGCTTTTAATTTTACAGATTTAACGAAGCGATAAAGCCATTCATTCGGAAAATCCTCCAATTATTCGGAGCAGAGGTGCTCTGAGAAATCATGGATCACGCCTGGATGCGTATGGGTAATTGCTCAGCTCATCACGATTCGAAGGCGTGTCTCGCAAAGATACTCCATAGAGAAGAACCGTTAGACCGTGACAGAGGGTTTCAAGATTTTACTTGGTCACGGGAACGAGTCCACGCTGTTCCATCACGTTCAACGGTGAAATGAGACATATCTGATATTCCGCTCTCTTACCATATCAATGGACGCGTGAGGTCACTCTTCCACAACGCCAGCTTCCCTTCCGTCAAGTGCTGGAATAATTACAATTAATTAAGAAGAGCATAAGAGAGCACGCGCCAGTTTGAAACGAAATAACGACACGAATTCTGAATGAAACTGCTCACTGCATTGTCCCTGTATTTTATTCAACTAGTTAGAAACTTCTTTTCTCTTTGCAATGTAAACTTTCTTTAATTGTTTTTTAATTAATTGGCAAAATGTGAAAGATCAGCGCACGAAAGTATTTGAATAGAAAACTTTTATATATTACATTTTGTGTATTATATAAAATGTATATACATAGTGACATATTATAAAAATTATCACGCAGCATAAACAACCATCATGAGTACACAATAAGCAAGTTATATACGATTCCAGTGAATGCTGATATTCATTAATAATAACAAATAATTATGTTCAAATATTTTTGCGATTACTTGTAATTTCTCTATACATATATTTCTCAAATACTTTCATGAACCTTTATCATAAATAAGATTTTTTTTATTATTCTTTTCAACAATTATTTCAATGGAAAAAATTCTAGTGATTTCTTTTTCATTTGCATTTTCAGGAACCATAATAATTTCAATTGACCAGTGAATTATCTTTGAGGATTTAAAAGTTTATAATCGATGGAAATATTATCCTCATAAAAATTTCGTTAATGTTTCAACATACCTATAAAAGAGAAAAGGAATTTCCAGTGGAAATTCGAGCACTCACCAGTAGTTCGTCACCGTCAACCTGTCGTTTTGTGATGGCTTTGCAACATTCCTCCAGACCATTCTGCAAAAGCGAGAATAATTCGTCTCATCAAATAGTACGTGCATCACTGATAACGCGCAAATAATACGTGCAAATAATTACGTTATCGTAACAATAAAGCGGGCAAGTTAAACGTACAACTGTTTCTACTTCGTTGCAATTTTTTTTAACTTGATTAGAATTGACCAGAGATGTTTCTCAGAATTTCACAAAGATTGCTCTTATATGTATATAATAGTGTAACAGTATAAATTCTTCGATCGTGTTAATTCTTTTGTTACAAACGTCTTCTGTTGACTTTTCTACTGAAATGGAAGCCGTACGTTGTGTAATTTAAGAATATCTCGTATAAAGTTGAACGAAATATAACAAATATGTTATATTTCAAATATGTAAAATATAATATTACGCGCTATTAATTCACAATGCTTTTCTCGTAAGTCATAGACTTCTGAAAAGATAAACGTGATAAACTAAATAGATCTTTTGATATACACAGTCGTAATTTTTCTTATATATTTTCTTTTTATGTTAAAACGAGTTTAACTCACGTACAACCAATGAAATAATATAATACAATAAATAACAGAACAATACAGATCCGTAACAAATTTTCTTTTCATTGAAAATTACATTCTTATCTTGTTTTACGATTAGATCACTATGTTTGACATTTTGATCAGCAGGACGTGCAACTTTTGTTTAGAATTCAAACGTTTGCCTTTGAATGGCTTACTTTCTGTATACTTTCATTACTCCAGTATGTTTAAACAGGAGTTTCAGTGACTTTTTTTTTTTTTGTATTCCAGTCTCACGATTCTGACAGAAAAAAGAAAGTACAACGTGGAACCTCGTGCATTAATTCCGTATTAGTTGAAAGTACACGCGCGAACCGCTGTTTGCACACATGTGTGAACTTCAATATTCTCGATGTGTCATACAGTTTGACAATCAATGTGAACAGTACTAACTCGCTTAAGTGTTACGCGTAACTCATATCTATCGATCGGTGCTTTTCTATCGATTCGTGGAAATAATTCAACATATACATCAACGCTTTACTTTTGCTGTTTGTTGCAAGATATAGTGACAAACTATACAGGCAAGATTTTATGGAATCATTTATCGTTTATCACTTGAACAAGAATCATCTTCAATATGAGGTATATCTATTAGCATATTAAAAAGGAAAGTTATTCGAAACGTTTTTCATAATTATATTAAAGCATATATTGTACGAAGTCAGATCTGAGATCACGGTGGAGAATTCGTGTCATAGATTCGCCACTGACAATTTCAGAAATGACTTTTGACTGAATCCGAGTTTACTTACCTTTCGGAGCAGGCACAATACATCGCTGGTGCTCCAGTTGGATATATCCTCGAGGGCGTCGCTCCGCGACAACTTTTTGAACATTGCACCGCGTGTTCACGCGATCGTGATGGCAACAAAAAAAAAAGATGTCGCACGTGTTCACCGCCCGGTCGCATCTGCATCTGGTTTTTGTGGGCGAGGTGTCTTGACAGCCCTCGCTGCTTCGTATTTTCCTCCCTTTCCGCCCCACCCCGTTCTACTGACGTCCATTGACGATTACCTCGTGTGTTGATGACGAACTGGCCATCACCGACTCCGATTGGTCGCTTTCTTATGGTACACCTGTTCTGTGCGACACGATCTGGTATCAGTGATTCTCAATTCTCGAAGCAGACTCTTGTTTCTCCAATTGACCATCGTCCTATCCCTAGAAAATTCTTGAAAATTGTGAGAAGAATTAGTGTCATATATTTAAACGTAGAAGAGAAATACTTGGGATTTCTTAGATAAATATATATATATGTATATATATATATGTGTGTGTGTCCATAATTGGTCAAACCAAGCGCTGTTATTTTCATGACCAAACCAACAAAAATCAGATTTCAATTTTGCTCAATCAAGCTATATTAAGATTTATAGTTGCTCTGACAGTATATTCTTTGCACAATCTTAGAAAGATGTATTCACTGGGGAATCAATGTTTGAAAAAATAGTTTTAGTGAATTGAATCCTAGTTTTCCCTAAATTTTGATCACGTGGTTTTGTTTATCTTTTTTGGCTCACCTGATTGGATGAATTTATGAATCTATCATAATCTTTCTATTTTCAATAGTGTAGTCTTTCGGTTGAGAATCATTAGTGTTAAGGCAAGTTCATAGTGTACGGTAAGTTTTATTTTACACCATTATTTCAATTAAATCTTAAATCGAATTTGTTTCAAAACTCGATCGACTGCAATGTAATTCTTTATTGAAGGATTTAAAACAAACATTCAAAGATTAACATATGCAATTTTCTAAACAAATATTAATTCTGTTATCTAAATGAGATTTCTATCTTCATTTCATTGCCAAATAACAGCAAAAGAAATGACAATTAAATTATTAAAACAGTTTAATAAAATGTGTAAATAAATATGAGAACAAAACTATTCCACTGTAGTTGATAGCTGATTGGCGAACTTGTGCGCAAGCGCAGTAATTGAGCATTTGTGATATAAAATCTCCATGAGAGTGGTGTTGAAAGTCGCGTAGAAATCGTGACGTTTAAATATATTTGTAAAATAGTTTTTATTATCGCGTGTTTATCATATAAAAAAAAGAAAGTGACAGAATGTCTGTCACTAATCTTGAATCTCAACAAGAATACGAGAACTATGTTAAGTGAGTAACATTAAATATAAGCGATTCTAGAACTAATATAACCTAGTTAAGTTTTTATTCTTTGAAATATATTACAATATTCGATTTCTACTTCGAACTAACATTTAATGTAGCGAGAAAAAAATATCTTCTATTTTATGATGCAACAAATTAAATACTAAGTAATAAAAAAGAAGTATTTTATAATGTTTTCGTTCAATATGAGAGTTCAAAAGTCACGAGTTTTTATCGATATAGTTTCGTGATAAAATAGGAAAATTGCTGCTGTAATCATACATATGAAAATTCAAGTGGTATTCAAGGTCGCGTTTGTTTATCGTGTCAGGTCACAAGATCTTTCCGTCGTTCACTTCTACACACCTTGGGCCGATCAGTGTTCGCAGATAAACGACGTGATAGAGGAAATGAGCAAACTGGCCGAGTACAAGAGAGTTAAATTCGCAAAGATTGAAGCTGAAAAGCTGCCTGACTTGTCGTTAAAAGTTGGCATCAGTGCAGTACCGACGATTATTCTCATAAGGAATGATACTATACTCGATAGAATCGACGGAGCTGACCCATCTGCGATAGCGCAAAAGATCAAGCGTCATTTGAGCAACAACGATATTTCAATCGACGCGTGTAAACCGAAAGAAAAACTTGAAGAAAGACTAAAGAAATTAATAAATCAAGCGTCTTGTATGTTGTTCATGAAAGGATCCCCCACAAATCCACGCTGTGGATTTTCTAGAATAATAGTCTCTATCCTAGATTCCTACAAGGCAGATTATCAGACGTTTGATATTTTGCAAGATAATGATGTTAGAGAAGGACTTAAAAAGTTTAGCGATTGGCCAACGTATCCTCAGTTGTACATTAATGGGGAACTCATTGGAGGATTAGATATTGTAAAAGAACTGGTCGATTCTGGAGAGCTGGAGAACATGTTACCTAAGAAGAGTTAATATAAAGAAAATGTGAGTGTCTCTATCCACATATAGACATTTAAACACTTTTAGGATAATAAATACTTGATCCTAGGCACTTGAATTATATAATTGTTCTCTTTCAGAAGGGAGACCGATTACTATTTTAATACAATTATCCTTAAGTTATTTTGTATCAGTTGTAAGAATTTCAATATTTGCTCTATTAAAGTAAATAAATTAAATCATCTATGTAAAAAGAATTCTCTATTACAAAAACCCCAGTTTTTGATAAATAGATTGGACTACATAGATCAATAGTTCGAATCTGCTTGCTTCATAATGAAGTCATGTTATTTTGATTTGTAGATCAATATTAACATATTAATCTACAATGAATAATTAAAAATATAAAATATGATTTCGTTTATACGTCAAATTTTCTATATATTTGTCTATTTTTAATAAAAAAAATTAATTACAATTTTTATGACTCACATAACATGATTTCGCAATATTTTACATTATACTATATTTTAATTTTTGCTTTTCTTGTGTCCGATCTTGTTTGCATCCTTTTTCGCTCCTTGTGAAATTTGTGAATGTTGTGAAGTTTACTCGCATTCTTTTTGTTTTTCCTAAAGGCAAAAATAAATCAGTCCCATGCATATCTTTAATTTAAATTCATAGTATCATTTACCTTTTGTTTAATGCTGCTCGTGTTAGAGGTACGTATGCATACGGATCTGGCTTCCCTTTCTTTTTAACGTCACCTCCAGCCTTTGATGCTTTATACTCTGCTCCTGGTATGCGTTCTGTTTTCGCTTTTTTCAATGATCGATGTATTCCAGATCCTCCCGCTAAATTGTATTTATTAAAAAGATGAAACTACACTCTAAATTATGCATTTATATTATAAGATTTCATACCTTCATACTTCGTTGTTAATGCACTTTTTACACTAAGGTTATCATAATTGTCACTATATTTACGTTTCCTACTCATTTCTTGTGATGTAGCTACTGACTGAATATCATCATCTTCTGTAAATGTAACATAAATTTGTTGGATTCATTTACTTATTCCTATGTACACATTCTTCCACAATTATGTATTCTTACCATAATCGTCTTCTGAATCACTGTGCAACAAAAGTTTAGACTTTTTCCTCCTCTTAGGTTTTGGTTCATCATCTTTTTCATTATCTAATGTAATAATAAAACGGCCATCCGGAGTAGTCTTGAATTCACGATCTTTTCGTTTCGCAGCTACCGTTTTGGAATTTATAGTAGCTCCAGGTTGCGTCGCTAAAAATTTGATAGATTTAACTCCAACGTGAGCAACTTGAATTTTAAAAAAATATCTAAACCTACTTGATATATTTCGAGCTGCCGCAGGATCAATAAGATCAATGATTTCTTCATTTTCCTGTATCCACGCTTCTTTTCGCGATGTTCTTTTCTTTTTCGTCGGTTTTTTATTCTCCAGATTTTCTTCAAATTCGTCATCACTATCCGCCAATATTTCTTCCAAACTAAATTTTCATAATGAGTATAACAATGTTCTTTTTTTTTTTCGTCAGTTTTCTAGAGTAAAACTTAAAGTTACCTCTTAGGTCTTCTCTTTGCATCAAATTCAATATCATCCTCATTTTCTTCTTTTTCCAGTTTTTTCAGTTCTCTCTTATTCTTTTTCTTCATTTCTATTTTATTCATATTTTTCAATCTTTTATGCAACATCACATTAGAAGCTGGAATCATGCTAGAAATTGTTTCCATTCCATACTTTCTTGTCAACTTTACAAGAATATCTCGTACTTTCTGTCTAAAATGCCTCTGGCAATCATTGTTCATTGCACATAAAGCGTCTATCTGCAAATTCATTGATTCGTTTTATTCAGTTATTTAGAGTTTTAAATTATCAAATATCTTTTTTACCAACCAATATTTTTAAATTCGGAGCAACAATATGATATGACATCACAGTAATGTAAACTTTAATGTATGCTAATGCAGCTTCCGTGATCTCCCTCGTCGAACTTGTAACGAAAACACACGCATGTTCTAAGATTTCTTTAACAGTGTCCATACCTAGAGATCCTGTCACAATATTTATAATGTTATTTATTTTTGTATAAAATATTTATTTCAATTTTAATTTGAAATAAACTATACCGTTGTAGTAATAAGTGATAGAGGAAAGTGCGAGTAAAGATGCAATACAGTATTTCTGTATACTTTGTTCTCCACCACTCAAACCAACCATCAACATATTGATATAATTTTTAAGATGTGTAGGATGTTCCAAAAATTTTTCGGCAATAGTATTTAACAATTCATATGCAGACTTTCGACAATGTGCATTTAAATCTTTTAAGTAAATTACTGCTTCAGGAACAATAGCTTGTAAGAATTTTGTTTTCTCAAGTTGTGGATGAATTTTGACTAGATGAATTAAACACCTTAATCGTGACTAATTAAAGAAGAAAAAAGATTTATTTGTTAAAAATTCAACAAGAAATTAATATCATAAAATAGAATTTGTAATTTTTACTTACTCCTCTGCTTGGTTTTGCGACTTCAGTGGCCGAGGATATTAATAGTTTTTGTATCTCGCGTCTATATTGAGCTACAAACGCTTTACATGTTTCTTTTTCACTACCACATATTTCTTCCAAAAATCTAAGAATGTATAACAAGTAATAATTTTCTCTTCATAAAAAGAAAGAGATAAAACATTTAATTCAAATGCTACCTGTATATTTTTTTCTGTTCCTTGAGTTTAGAATTTTCTTTAAGACACGATACAGATATATCGTAATATTCTTTTATTTTATCGATGTCAGTATGTTCAATAAGTAATCTTATTATGTCGTGAATACTTTCATTCAAAAAATCATCAACATCAGGTTCTGTTAATCTAGACAATGCACGATCGAATAATTCATGTACTAATTCTTTATTTGCAATTGTGAGATATATCTGTAATTGTACAAAATATTAGTTTCTTTAAATAATATCACATTTTCGATTCAGCTTACCTTTATTGTATTGTATGTAGAGGAACGTTGCCCTTCTTCATCAGTTCCGTTTGGCTTAGTAGTATACAAACTTAAGAACAATGGTAGATAATTCTTTGCAAATCTAGCTAATTCACGTATGTCTTCTTCTTTATTATTTTCGACTGCTCTTGTTACTAATCTTCGTAAAGCATGCAGTATCGACATTCTCAAACTTTTGTCACTGAATTTTGTTCCCAATAATCTAGCTATGTTCTAAACAAAATAAGATATTTTATTATATTTTACTATATTTTTTTGTATATACAGGGTGTTTCGTAACTTGTGGGACCCACTTCGGGAGCTGATTGTACGCCTAAAAATAATGAAAAAGTCATATAAATATATATATGTCCTATCTGTCTTCGTTTGAGATATAATGAATTTTATAAACAGAGCAAATTCTCTGTCCGACCTTTCTTTCCATAGACCGCAATAGTTCGTAAGCAAGAATTTACACTGCTTACAAATAATACTTGATATCTTTCGTTTTCTGTACTTGATTCCTGCAAATATATGACTTTTTTTTCATTATTTTTAGGCGTACAATCAGCTCCCGAAGTGAGTCCTACAAGTTACAAAACACCCTATATATCCATGATGCATACCTTAAAATTATCTTTTACATCAGTAGCATTGTTGCATATACTTGGTAAAATAGCCCAGATTTGGCAAACGAGAAATTCGTAAGTTTTTCCTCCTACGGGTTCGAGTGATTTTTTTCTAAAATGAAATATAATTATCATTAACAATATTATTATTAATAATATAAAATACTTACAATAAAAATATTACTAATTACTTACTCGCACAATGTTGCGATAGGTAATAATGTTTGCATGAAAAAAGTAAGTGATCCACCTAATACACAGTTCTTCAATAATGGTAGTAACCAACTCCTTTTTAAATTAATCGTATTGTTCGATGTCTGTAAAATATAAGTATAAATTAATGTAGTTATAAAGCAACAATTTTATTATGCTGTGTATTATACAGAATTACTTACTTTCAATGGAATAATATTTAGTATCGTCTCTGGTCCAAGAACCTTTATCGCAGCTCCGATAGCGTGTTCAGCATCATTCTTTGATGTAAAATTATAAGAATCACGTAAAACAGCCAGACTTTTTATTATCTCTATTAATTGCGGATTTTTCGTTTTACCAATTATCTGTATTAAAAGAGAAAACGTATAATACAAAAGATATCGAACATCAATACAAAGATAAAGGACAGAAAGTAAATATTACCTCAAAGAGTAGAGCTATTAAATGAAAAATATAATACCAAGCTTCCAAATATCGATAATGCAAAGCTTCACGCATTATTAAAGTTATCTGACCAATAGCGTCTTTATATCTATAAGTATAAAATAATATAAAACATCAATTATAGATGTAAAGAATATTTAAATATAGATTATAGACTTACGTTTTTATTGTTTGTTCAGTTTCACATAATTTACCAACACACTCCTGTAATAAAATTTTTATCGTGTGCGAGGTGCCAGATATAATTTCCGATTTATCCGAAAGCCAATATTTTATACATGTCTCAAACATTCTTGGTAAAAGAACCGCACATAAATTTAATGAATTGCTAGAAATCAAAAATATATTTAACAATCACTAACTTTTGAACGAAATGCAAAATAAGAAATTTAGATATAGAAGTATATATATTTACTGAGCTATATTCAAATGTGCTTCTTGCATAACAATCAACCATGCTAAAGTTGGTTGAACATCAGTTGCTGGAGGTTGGTAAACATAAAGAGCACTAATCATTTGTCCATTTCTTTGCGCTGGTAGAATAGCTTCCGATGGTCGAGAAACGAACAAACCATGAAATGTTTGTAGACAGCATGAAGTTATTAATACATTTTTCATAGTCATAAGTTTCAACAAAGATTCACTGATAGTCTAGAAAACAAAAGTATTTAATTATTAATTGTAAAAGCAAATATTTTCTAAATAAGTACCTTCACGTGAACTTTTGGTAAATGATGGAAAATATCTTTCAATAATGTAAGAATATGAAGAACATTTGTAATTCCATTGGATTCGGAATTAGGTTGTAGTAGACCAATACAGAATTTTGCAATATATGGTGTAGCCGGATGATACGGTGGTGGATTCTCACTTTTCATAATATCACTTCCTATAATTATTAATATAATAATAGTCAAGTTTATTAAAAACTTTCGAATTTATTTGAACAATTTCTCTACTCAAATTTATCTTACCATTTAATATGGCAATAATTCCATGTTGTGCTGATTTTCTCAATTTTGGTTTATGGTGTATAATAAATGACAAAATAACATCCAATATTTGCATTGTAGATGAATCACACCATGCTGCTGCTTCTTGTGCACGAAGTAGCACTGACAAACAATGAATACACTGCAAAAAATTAAAAATGTCAATAATACATCTCGTTATAATGTTTAAAACTAAATAAAGAAATAAATTAATAAAAAAACAATTTACATGTCGAAGTATTAGGTACTCTTCCGAAGATACATATTTGATAAGGATATCTAGAAAAATTTTACTTGCAGCTCCAAATTGGATATTTAAAACATTTTTTGGTACAGTTTTCAAACCCATGCCCAATAATGATAGCGTAGCTGCAATAGACATGTTTGATTCAATTGCTTCTAAAGTGCTCATCTAAATATTAAAATTTATAATTATTAATTATACTTGTTTCAAGAAAGTAAATTCATAATGTTTTACAATAGATACCATTGCAGCAAAATATTCTGTGCTAGTTTCATTACCACCATTTTGTTTTATAATTTCTGTCACGGCAGACAATACAGCTAACATTTCCTTATGTAACAATGAATTTGATTGAAAATGATTTAAAAACCTATAACAATTCAAGATTTAATATTTAACATCTTCAAATATTATTAATATTTAAAATTGCTTTAATTATGTATATACTTACCTACTAAATGATACATTTGAACAATTACTGTATTTAGTAGCAAATGTATTAGCAGTATCTTCTGTACAAGTTTCCCAAGAATTATTATCATTTTCAGATGTTTCCGCCGGTGATTTCACTCCTTGAATAGCATCGTGTTTTTGCAAATCTTCTTTTGTTATACCAGGCTTTTCTGTGGCTGAGATAATTAAAAAATTTTTTATAGTATCAAACGCGAAAAAGAAATTATAGAAAAAATAATCTTTGATATTTGTGATACCTGTGGGGTCTTTAAAAAACATCCTAGATGCTTGTTCCCTATGTTTTACAGTTTGTGGATTGGAACTCGCGCTTTGGCCCTTCGGCCACCGTTTTGCTTTTTTCCGACTATTTAACCGGACTCCCGACTTCCCCATTTTTCCCGTATTTTTTTTACGTTTTCCAGTAATATATAAAAGATTTCCAAGTATATTAAAGTATATTTCTTTCTTTTTCTTTACTCACAATGGCTACACAAGGTTAACTCCATACTGCACGTGTCTTCAATCATATACTACAGACATAATAGATACGATATCATATTAGGTCATAAACAAGATACTCATATGTATGATGCCAAATATATTGTTAATTCTATGTTTAATTATCTTTAGTTCGCAATTTTTGTAATAGAGTAATTTTAATTATAATATTTTTAAAATTAACTAACAGTTATAAAATGAAACCTATTAGAAATGTTAATATTTCATCGACAGGCTACAATTTGTAAAAATATATCTTTTCAGATTTTCAAGTATAATATAGTTTGTAAGAAACTGAATACTATTTGTACAAGTACACCAATTTATTGAATAGAATTTGTAAATCCTTATCTGTATATTTTCTACTAGGTATAGGAAGGAAGCTGAAGGTCTAATGTGAAGTTTCTAGTCGTAAAAGTTCGTAAATTAATTCTCTTAGTTTTTTTTACAAATAAAAATTTGATCGACTTGTAGACATTCAAATACTAGCGCCGAATCACTATTACTATCCTTATTGCACCAATGGTATTAGTTTGTCTCTGTCCGTTTGTAGCGACCTATAGTTCCTCGAGTACGAGTTTCGAACACCAACTTGCACAAGCCGCAAGTGGCTGTGCGCCTAGCGTCGAAGTCAACCGATATTCGATGTTAAGCAAACAGAGTGCGGAACNTAGCGAATAGTTACAACAACAAGCGTCTGGGGTAAGGAGTCGCTGCCATCAGCCCCACTGATGAGTCTAGGCAGCGACTCTGAGACGAAACGCACAACCTTTCCTCACCTTACCCACCTCATCACTTCCTACATTATCCTCGCATTATCATCGCCGTTTCAATCCCTTCACGTTTATAGATGATGCTGCCATCTAAGCACTTTCTAACTCTCCTTGGAACTAAAAAAATAAAAATGAATCGTCTAATAGATGGCAAAACTTGTACTAAAATAGATATACATTGGATGAGCGACAAAGACAGTAATAGGTGGTTAGTACCATCATTTCACCGCTACGTGACACTAGTATTTCAATATCCTAGTATTCAACATGGATTGACCAAATTTTCATCCGCAAAAAATAGGTAATTAAGGTGATTAATTTGTGTAACTTTTATGATTACGTTCCTCAGTTATCATAAGATTGATCATTTTCTTCTTATATATACTATTTAATCCATAAAACACACGTACAAAAATTCACAAGTTCTGTTCGGCAGCAGATCGAACCGCCTGTGTGATTAACGTTTAGCTTCTCACAGATTACGTTCGAAATTTAACTTAAAATTATTCATAAACATAATTAGATAGATGCACAAAAACTTCACACGCAGTTTTGAATATAAAACTTTATTCAATCGATTAGTTGTTAATTGTTATACATAGTACTGTTGCAAAGTCCGCGTGATGAACGTTAATCCTTTCGATGTTTGTAATTAAGATGTTGAAAAAATGGCTTTCGTTGTTTGATGACGAATATACTGATCGAGGCATTTGAATTTTGCCAATTCTCGAGAATTATCCTTGTTTCTCCACGATGTGAATAAATCTTTGAAGAAAACTAACGTGGAGTTTGTCAAAGTGGAAGCTTTACATTTTAAAATTGACAACTGAATTGTTATACGAAGTTGTATACTGAAGTATGGACGGTCTCCCATCGGAGGCGCGAATACTTTCGTCCATCTCTGTACAATTCAAATTTACCTTTAAGTCTCGAAACAATGGAGAACGATTGCCCGTTGTTATTTAATCGCAATTTCAATTTCTTTTTGTTGCAGATGTAGACGTAATGGCAGTGTAATCGCAACTTCGGAAGCTGAACAATCGCGTGATATAATGTACATAGGAACTTTGCATTGCACGATTCCCCCTGTTTACATCATTAACTCGATGATACACCGGAGAAGGAGTTATCATTGGCGGTAGTGAAATTGATGACCGAATTCTTTTCAACGTTGGAAAACTATCGTTCTTCGCGATAATGCTCATTACTCTTTGTCGTCGCCGTTCATTGCGAAGTAAATTCGAATGAAATTAGCTTGGTGAGTATTCAGCTTCTTCGAAATGTTACAAAGATGTTTATAAGACATAAATTCGTCTAAAATTTATATTGCGGATATTAATATCTATTTATATTATTTATATTTATATTACAATATTTATTTATTTATATTTATGTTACAATATTTATTTATTTATATTTATGTTACAATATTTGTTTATTTATATTATTTATATTTATATTTATATTGATTTATTTATATTATTTAGATTTATATTACAATATTTATTTATTTATATTTATGTTACAATATTTATTTATTTATATTATTTAGATTTATATTACAACATTTATTTATTTATATTATTTAGATTTATATTACAATATTTATTTATTTATTTATATTTATATTTATATTACAATATTTATTTATTTATTTATGTGTATATTTATTATATTATTTATATTATTTATTTATTATATTATATTATATTTATTTATATTATTTATATTACAGAAATATTAATATTTATAAATGTATAAGTATTCGCATTCATAAATACAAGTACTTGTACATAGGTGTTTGTACGAAAAGTGTAAATATATCTGCAGATATAAATTTCTGATGAGCATCGATATTTGCAGGTACGTATTATATACGTGTACATGTAGAAATTTGCAAATTGTATTGTACATTAAGCACAATTTGAAAATATGATTACGCGTGAATATCAGTATCTGCAAACTTAGAACATTTGAAAAACGACAAAATTTAAATATTCGATGAATTCAATTCGTGGGTAGAGCATCTAATCTTCAATCAATTTGACCAACAAGAATTTACCCCTGCCAGGAAGATTTCTTTCTCTTGAGGTGTTTATTTGAAATCGGACATTACAAAGGAATCCTTTCTCCTACACAATCGTTTCTTAATCGTTGTGAATGTTACACGGCTATATTGCACACGGATCTTGTTGCCATTTTCTCGGCGATTTCCTCTTCTAAATCCTCCTTTACGTCGCTATAGTCAATAACTCTCAAACAACTTTGCCATTACAGCGTTTGTCAATAGTCTTACACTGACGAAGGCTATAGTGAAAAATTTTTTATTTCTTCTCTTTATCGATTGGTTTTTTTCTCGGTTGTAACGCCCGTCCTGAGACACCCTGTATATAAATCGTTTTTTATATATAGGTATTATGAATATGAGTTATTTATTAATTATTTGTAATTATATAGATTTATGTGAGTTATCACGAATATGAATTGTTTATTTGCGCAGGCCCTTTTGTTAAACAAAGATTTCTTGAGCGCAAGTGAGTTTCGCGGCCTCGTGACAGATTTGAACTAGGTCAAATGGTTTGGAACAATCCTTGCTGAATCGTACTAATCGATCGATATCTCGAAAAATACATTGTCTGTAGCTGCGCGAAACAAATGGATAAATGGAACTAAAGTTTTATCTAGTTCCTTGTATCGCGAAACGATATTGCGTTCGCACTGTAAATTACGATCCAGATGCAAAAATACATTTTGATTGCGACATTGCATCATTGAAAGCAAGATCCAGTTCTAGATTTTTAAGATTTTATTTCCAGCATTATTAATTTCACCGCTTTATTCGTAAATTCGCGAAGCTCCGAAATTTTCACGTTCTTTCACTCAACATCTTTTTATTCTTGATATTCTCGAATGCTCGGATCTATAAGTTTTCGCGCGCCAAAATTCTCAAACTCCAAGTTTTCGAATTTTTCGTGTTCCAAAATTTCCAAAGTTCCACATTTACAATTCTCCGGACCCACGAATCATCAAACTTCTGTATTCCGGAATTCTCCAAATTTCCAGATTCTTTGAATTTTTAAATTCCCAAGCTCTCGAACTTTCGCGACTGAAATTGGTAATTAATCGAAGGTAATTTTGTCTAAAGTCCTAATTAGATCGAAGGGATTAAACAACGGCCCTAAGGGATTCAGTTCAGACTTTAAAAGACTTTTGCGCGATTTACAGAGTCGTCGATCGTTGACTATCGAATACCATTCTCCTTCGACCTGGTAATTTTCCAATTTACGGTGAATCTCGTGGCTTACAGAACGACGATCGCGTTTCACATAGAAACGTTTTATTCGATCCACGAACGAACCGTGTGCTGGTGTGTTTTGTTGGACGAATAACGCCGGATGGAATCGTTAACAGGAAGCAAAGGGTGGATCCTGTTTGCGTGGGGTCACGGCCATCATGGGTAAATTCTCCGTTTCAAAAAGAGTTTACCGTGATGCGTATTACATACGTGGTGGAAAAACGGATTTTTCACACTATTTGCCTTTTTAAAATATGACAAATCGATTTGATAATTGATTATCGTGTATATTTCATGGATATCATTTGAGGAAATGAAGCCCAAATAGTTAATTGTTTTACTTACTAAATATTATAACGAGTATTATGCATTCTTCATATTATCTATAAATAATAATATAAGTAATAATTTGCAATCAAATTTTAGAGAATTGTTAGTATGGTTGGACCGAGTAAATTTAAATATCGTTCAATTGTCGATGGAGATATTTCATTTGATTGGTTTATTTATTATGATAAATTAAGTCAGTACTTGAATCATAGATGAGTTTTATATAGTTTGATTTAATAATTGTAAATCATAGCAGATGAGTTTTCTACAGCTTTGAATTAATAATTATAATTTCAAATCAACATCTATATTCTTTAACATTTTCATCGTTCAATGAACATCAGAGTTAATCTCATTAACAAATGGCAAAACGTACAAGACGCGAAAGAAACTCTAACAAAGTACTTTCTTCAAGAGCATGAAAATAGAATGGACTTGTTGCTCGTCGCGAGCTCGCGAGCCCGAGTAATTCGAAAATCTAGACTAAACTGTAAAGCAAACAAGAAACCGAAATCAAATCGACGAAATTTTTCCTCGCGCTAAAAATCGCCAACCTGTGTTCCATCCCTGAATTATCCGGATTAAAACACGTATATTATAAAGACTATGCTAAAAGACGTGTGCAATATAAAGAGATCTCACAGAGATCTCAATCCCTTAATTGACGTTCGAAACACCTTTATCTTCAAGTATATTGAAGTCCAACTCAGGCAAAACAAATAATAAATTTGTTGCTTCTCAATAATTTCCATCCAGTGAAATCGTACCAACGAGCTCGAAGGGAAAAGTAAGCGACGAATTATTGTATACGATTTTGGTCACTCGTTATGGTCCGCAATCAGTTGCCGTCGCAACTGGTTAATTGAAATATAAAATATAAAATATAAAATATAGAATATAAATATAAAATATAAAATATAAATATAAAATATAGATAATATATAAAGAAATATAAATATAAAATATAAGATATAAATTTAAATATAAAATATAAGATATAAATATAAATATAAAATATAAGATATAAATATAAATATAAGATATAAGATATAAATATAAATATAAAATATAAGATATAAATATAAATATAAAATATAGATGTATAAAGAAATATAAATATAAAATATAAGATATAAATATAAATATAGATGTATAAAGAAATATAAATATAAAATATAAGATATAAATATAAATGTAAAATATAGATGTATAAAGAAATATAAATATAAAATATATAAAGAAATATAAATATAAAATATAAAAATTTGGGGGAAGGGGCGGCGTTGGAACCGCGACTTGTGAAAACCCTTCTCCACCGGAGATCTTCACCGATGAATGGTGCGAAACGAAGGAAGAAGGGAGCAATCTTGTTTCTTCCGTGTGATTGAACGCGTTCTGCCGAGGTTCTTCGAGCGACGCCGTGCACTTGGCAAATTGCATTACTGGAACAAGTTCGGCCCACGACACGGCACGGTACCCTCGTTTCCAGCCAAGTTGGACACGGCCAACAGGCGAAGGTGTCACCGATGACGTCGGTACTGGGCTCACAATCAGACTCAGGCGCGCGTATTGATTCCGTGACGTCATGGGAACACGTCCCACGTCCAACAAACGTGACGCCGAATTCGCCGGATTCTTCCGCGTTTCCCAGTCCAGGAATTCAGCCATAATTAAGAGATGACTTTGCCGGAACGTTCTCGATTAACAACGTCGGCTATTTTGGTCCTTTGAGCTGGTGGTAACTGGAAGAATCTGCATTTTCAATCGAGAGGCTCTGACTTAATCCATGAGAAATCGCACGACGCGTCAAATACAGAGAAGAAGATATTCCACATCAAGATATCTGACAGACGAGAAACAGCATCCAATTTTCAATTATGCGCTTTCAATTGTATCTTCCGGGATATAAATTTGTATCGAGATCCGCAGGTTAATTATCATTGTCCTAAATAGTATCCGTTACCGTCAACATAACCACCCATCAACTATAACCTTTTCATCGTCACTATTATTTCATACAGCACATTTCATATTTCACGATCTCGTAACTCGAATTATTTTTAAAATTTCAAAAAAAAAAAAAAA